CGCAGGAGAAAGCCTCGCGCCGTCGCGATCTCCTCCGCGCTGCCGATGAGGAGTCTGCGCCTGGTCGTCGGCCCCGTCCTCCGGGACAGGCGGTCGCCGTACCTCGCCCCGCCCAGCTCTGGGATCCGACGTCGAGGAAGAAGTTCCTGGCGGGACTTACACGAGGAAGGCACTGGCGGGCCCCCGCCCGCTTCTGCGGGGCTGCACAGGACGGCAGGGGAGGAGGTCAAGAAGCTCGCGGAGGCTCGCGGCGCCTAGAGAAGTTCCCGCGCCAGGTCGATTTCGCGAACGTCCGCCCGCCCCTCCCGGGGGACATTCGACGATTTCTGGCTCGTGCTACGTGGGCTGCGCCTGGCCCAGATGAGCTGCATCATTTCACCTGGGGAGTCGGGGCTGGCCCCGAGGTGCTCTCGGCGGTCTTGCGGTGGACCTCTCAGGGGCATGGGATGCACAGTGACGTTTGCGCATTGCTCCCAAATGACCCCCCGAAGTGCACCAGAGACCCCACAGTGGAGCCCGAGAGTAGCGGGGCCCAAAGGGATCCTAATGACGCGCGCCCCCTTGGCATCAAAAACGCACGCAACAAGGTCACCCGCGGGGTCTTGAACAATCGCACGCATCCCGCCGCCGCTTCTTCGGGGGCGCGCTAGCAAGGGCCTCAACTTACCATGCAACGCGCTCGCGCTGGACGCGAGTGACCCGACATGCGAGCAGCCAGCGCATGAGCGCCCGCAAGATACCCCTTCGCTGCCGACGTTTGATCACGCGCAAGAGTTCCCTTCAGCGGGCCAACCGCGATTGCCAAAGCGCTCGAAGCAACTACTCATCCCCGGCCCCCTTCCGCGCGGCAACCCGGGCACTAGATCGGAACACGTTGTGCTATTATGGTGGCGGTGGCCAGTTTTTCACGCATCGCATGCGGTCTGGAGCCCTCCTCCAAAGGCGCCCGTTGAGCGGCTCTTCGTATGCGATCGCTGCGAACCCGTTCCAGTTAGACCTCGAGCGGCGCCCGTCGCCCCCATCCCCCCCCCCCCCCCTCGGACTTCCATGCGCGCGCTGACGTTTCGGGAGTTGTTGTATATCAGGCTCGCGGCTACCACAGCTTGGCTCGAGTCTTTCGACTGTCGAAGGAGTGCGCGAACCTCAGGCCTAAGTACCGCAAGTGTTCGGATATCCCCCTGCCAGGGCCCCCCCAATGAAGCTGCCGCGATGGCCCTTCGCAGTGCTCTGACATCCGTGGACAGAGCATGGGGCTCTCTTGCGCTTGTGAATGCGCGCGCACTCGGGCTTCCAGCTCGGCCCTGCTGCCAGCATTGATCTTCGATGGGCCAATCCTATGCACAAGCACCATCCACGAGTACTGGACATCAGCAGACCTGGCGCACCGACTGCGACCATGGCGGCGCTTTACAGCGAGCCATCTTTACTTGTCATAAGGTACATTGCGCAACTTGCCCCCCTCGGGTGTTCGCGCAGAGCCAGAGGCATGGCACTGCTCGCGCACCGAGCACGATGCTACGGCTCCAGGACTGCTTCAATATCGAGTCGACTGGCGGTCCGAAGTTCATCGATGAGGGCGTATGCAGCGTCTGCCAGACTTCGCACAACTGCGATGACGTGCCTAGGGTGGCGCCCTTTGATAGCCGACTTGAGTGATGGCTTGATCGACCATGGTCTTGCTGCATAGTGGAGCTTACCACAGCTGGCGCCACCGTGCTGGACAGCCCCTTCAGTTCGCGGCACTCCTCGAGGAGGCGCAAAAGAGCTCCCCCAATGATTCTAGATTACGTAGCGGTGGTGTTCTTGCAAGAATGACGTGGCTGCATCGTGGTACGGCGCAAACGGCTGCCATTGGTGCACGATTTGATGATGGCGCTTTGCTTGTGCCGCTGCAGGCGCTGCAGTTGAAGATGGGCGCCACTGGCCCAGAACAACGCACTCCGACTCTGAAATGGCCAGCAGTCTTCTATTGCACCTTGCACCGCGCACTGTTTTTGACGGCTGCCCTTCTTCGTCATCGACAGCTGCTCGAAAGACATTTCGCCGCCGGCGATGTGGATCTGACGGGACATGCGCATCGGCTTTGCGACCTGCCAACTGCTTGGAATGCGGTCAGAATCAAGACTTGGTTGTGGGCCTGGATAACAAATACTCGGATGCAAAGGCAGGTGGGCTGCATCTGCGTCTGTGAGGATGCGTCGGACCGCATATTTCACTACGTGTGAGCCTGCTCCCGGCTCCATCATTCCGCCTCCTTCGCGCTTCGATCCGATCCCCCTGGAACGGTTAGTGGAAGACTGGGATTCTCTGGCTAATATTCTTGCTGGTTATGTACCACCACGATCGGCTTACATCGCATGCATTTTCCGAACCGCCAACATACTCGCGGGTTGCTGCACTTGCGGGCGCCACTCGCCGTTCGATTCGTCTTCCTCCTTGACATTGCACCAAGCGATGATGCGTGCCCTTGGAGATGCCTTTTCGTCGACCCCGTCGAGCTCCGATTCAGGTGGTTCTGATTCGTCAAGCGATTCGTTGCATGACTCTGAGGCTTTGATCTCCACTCCTCTTCGCCCGCCATCCTCTGAACAGTCGAATACGCCACCACCTGCAAGCCCTGGGGATTTTGTACATCCCTCCCCTGGCTCTGCCGATTCCGCCACCCTCCTTCCCGAGTGTGCGCCCGATACTGCGACGTGGACCACGAATGGCCTGGCTGTGGGTCGATGGCGTGTTCTGGGCTTGCTCCTCTGAGCTCGGACCCTCTTGGGCGCTCTGAGAACGTCTTGGGTGGATCCCCGTCTTCCCCCTCGCGGCCGCTTGAGCCCTCCTCTGCCTCTTCCGGGGGCCACCGTGACTCCGAGCTTTGTTTCGGTTCGAAGATTATGATATGCCGCGTGATGCTGTCTTCGCGAGCCACCCTCGCGATCGAGGTGGCTCAGTGCTCGCATGCCCGAAGCCTGCCCATGCTACAGCAGGCTAGCCGCGGTTAGGAAGGATGAGGCTTCTCCCCTGGTTACCTTGGTTAGGTTCCGCCTCCTCCTCCTCCTCCTCCTCCTCTTCCTCCTCCTCCTCCTCCTCCTCCTCCTCCTCCTCCTCCTCCTCCTCCTCCTCCTTCTCTCCCCACATGTTCTGGAGCCAACCTGGTCTCCACTCTGGGGTCACACATGTATTCGGGCATGTGGCGGCGCGGCATCGAACGTGCGCCATCCACCTCTACCATCAAGAAGTTTGGCTGTGATTTCCCGCGTGGACTGGCATTCCTGGTCGTCATGAAATCGAAAAATCGAGGGTCCGAGAATCCAGGCTCGAGTTTTTGCGGGCCTCCTGAGCTGGGCGTCCCTGGGTGACCACGGCTGGATCCCCTTCGAATTCTTACTTGGCGCACTCCCGAGGAGGACAGCGGTCGCCAAGCATGCAAGTCTCAAGTCCCAGGCATCCAGCGGATTGACTTGTTCGATCCCGCCGTTGTTCTTCGATCTTGTCGTCGCTGGGCCGCTTGCAGGGCCCCAGGGCCGTGTTTCGGGGTCGTCGGGGAGAGCCAGCTGCAGCCGGGGCGCTGAAGAAGGAACCCTTTTCCGTTGGGGAGGGGCTCCGTTGTATGGCGACGAGATCTATGCATATCCACTGCTCCTGGCCAGGCCAATCCTGGGCCCAGGAGCGGTGTATACGCCCTCCTGGCCTGGCCAGGGAGGCATATACACAGCTCCTGGGCCCAGGATGGGCCTGGCCAGGAGCAGTGGATATGTATAGATCTCGTCGCCCTACGTTGTACTTAACAGTTGCACAGCTTGTCTTAGGTTTCCCCGAGGTTGTCGATGAGAAATCGAAGTCTAGCTCATGGAGGAAAAAGGGCTTCGCTCCTCATTGTGAAGGCCCGACGGCGGGCGCCGCCGACCCTGAAAGACATCGACGACGACCAGGAGGGGGAGGAGGAGGAGAAGGAGGAGGAGGGGGAGGAGGAGGAGGAGAAGGAGGAGGAGGAGGAGGCGGAGGAGAAGGAGGAGGTGGTGGAGGAGGAGGAGGAGGAGGAGGAGGAGGAAAAGGACTCCCCCCTAGGACCCCCCCCCCCCCAAAAAAAAGGAAGCTTCGTTCCTTATCGAGTGATCCCTGGGCGCACCTGCACGGTGCCTGGCCTGGCCGACCCGGGGCCCCGGCTCGGTGCCGGAGGGGGCGCCACTGCACACCGAGCCTCTGGGCCCGGGAGGGGCCCTGGCCAGGGCAGCGGGCACGGGCCTCGAGCCGCGGGGATAGAGCGGACAAAAAGCAGGGCTCGCCGGCGGGAGCTGGAGGGGCCCTGGGAGAGATTCTCCAAGTAGGCTTGCCCTATAGGAGCTCTTACCCAAACCCTACTAATTGGTCCGTTGCCCCCCCCCCATTCCTCTGCCCCCCCCCATAATTCCTGATGTAGATGCCTATGCCTGTGCCTATGCCTCCCCCCTAACTCCTATGCCTACGCCTTTCGTCCTCCTCCCATCCTCCTCTCGTCCTCCTCCCGTCCTCCTATCTATTTGGAGTCAACGCTGGCTGATACTAGGGGGACGAACAATGACAGAAACACAAAAACTCGGCGCGCCAGGGAGGGGGCTCCAGCGCCGATGCGAGAAGCCTGCGCGGACCTCCGAATTTTCTATGGTCGTATCATTGCTCGTCCCCTTGAAATTGAGGTTCAGTTGTCGAGGCTCGAGCTGTGTTGGGCATCCCGGGCACGCCCCTCGCTGCCACGGTTGGACACGGCACGAGGTGCAGGCCAGGAGGGACCCCCCGGGAGAGAGCCGGCGACAGATGTTGAAGGGATTTGCTTTATGCCTGGTTCGTGAAGATGGATACTGGAGGCAGGACAGGGGTCCTGCTTTCTGCTCGCCGCTCTCGCGCTCCCGGGGGCCCTGCGCGAGCCCTGGGGCCGTCGGAGAGTGGCTCGAGACGAAAAGCCTGTCTGGGCGAGAGCCCCGAGGTCCGGGGCCCATTCCCGCCACAGAGCTCTTCCCCTTCCCGCCAAGGTCGGTGTCCGCGTCGAAGTCGGCGCGGGGCGCTGGCGACGTCGGCAAGAGCAGGATATCGGCGAGGGCACGGCCGCCGACGCTGCCGGCACATCCTCGCTGCAGAGGCTTTGCGCGTGTTTCGGGAGGCGTCTCGTCGCCGCGGCCGGACTCCCCCTTCGAAGCCCTGGACGGAGCGCACATCCCGGCAGCTTCGGGGGCGACGGCTCGGCCGTGCGCAGAGAGGGGTAGGGGGGAGGGGGGAAGGCTTCTCAGAAGCACCACTGCTTCTCAGAAGGCGCGTGGGCCACCTCTGCAGATAGAAGAGGGTGGTGCCTCCTGAGAAGCAGCCTCCGAAGAAGCCTTCCCCCCCTTCCTCCCCCCCTTGTGCGCGCCGCCAAATTTAGGGGAACAAACAGTGACATAAACAAAAACTCGGAGGTCCGCGCAGATTGCTCAGATCGGCGCTGGGGCCCCCTGGCGACGAATCCAGCGCCGCTCCTGGCGCGCTCCGCGCGCCAGTGAGGTGGGTCCAGCGCCGATGCGAGGAATCCGCGTGGACTTTGGAGTTTTTATGTGTCTGTCATTGATTGTTCCCCTAAAAATTGTCAAACATGGACAGGCAAAATCAAGAGAGGTGTGCGCGGAATTGTGATTAGGGGTCTGCGCCGGACCTCCTCCCCTACGGTCAACTCGCATAGTCAGGATGGTCAACCTTCCCAAGTGCACCCTTGCATCCTCGCCTCCTCGGTCCATCCTTGGCCAGTTTCGTTCGCCGCACCACGCTCGAAAAGGAGGAGGAGGAGGAGGAGAAGGAGGAGGAGGAGGAGGAGGAGGAGGAGGAGGAGGAGGAGGAGGGAGGAGGGAGGAGGAGGAGGAAGATGAGGACGAGGAGGAGGGAGGAGGAGGAGGACGAGGAGGGGCGTCCAAGGCCTTTGCGTCCTCATCGCGCATCCTCATGATGCGGGCCGGCTGTAGTTGCCCCCTCTGGGGCGCCCCGTGGGGGGCCCCCGCCCCTTCCAGCGCGCGCCGTCCGGCGCCGATGCCCCCGGGGAAGCTCCGCGCGGGCCTCCCTGTGAGGGTGCATGCGCCGTGCGCGTTCCACTGCTCGCCAAGGGCCTGCAGTCGCAAAGGGCTGCTCGCACAGTGCTTCGGGACTTCGCTTACGGTCGGGCCGAGGTGTAGGATCGAGGTCGGTTCGGGGACGGTGCCCTAGTGTTTTCCGTGTTTGGCGGATGCTCTTTGTGCAGGCAGGGGAGGGTGCCCTTTGATGTTCTGTGTGTTGTGGCCGGCGGAGGCTCTAGTGTTCTTGAAGGATGTTTTTCTGGCCCAGGCCCGACTGTACTCGCAGACCTCCGAGCAAAAAATAGCACATGCTTGCATCGACGTGATGCATCGTGAGCCCCTCGCGGCGGGTCTGGGCCGTTTGCGAGCAGCCGCTCGGCGCGCCGCAGAACTCAAGCAGTGGCGAAGCGTCCTGGCGTGCCCGTGGGCCTACCAAACAATGAACTAAGAACCTTTTGATGTCCACGAAACGATCTGAGAACATTTCTGCCTGGGACAGTCTTGTTTTAACATATCGTTATTATGTTATAAGAGCATTGACTTTGTTATTAGAACAGTAATGGGTTCTAAGAACATGTCGTGGTAGGCCTATAGGAATGCTGGGACGGTCGGTCCCTGATCAATCAGAGCGCGCTCGTCGGTGCATGCACTGCACTCGGGCCGCCCACCTCGGGGCCCCGCCCGAGGATGGAGGCCATCGTCGAGCAGGAGCACTCCCTTGCGCAGGCGAGCTCCTGGGAGAGCCGCGCCGGCGACGCGCGCGCCGGGGAGCCTGGCGTGCAGCGGAGCTCTCCTCCTGCTCCTGCTCCTCCTCCTCCTCCTTCTCCTCCTCCTTGTCCTCCTCCTCCTCCTCCTCCTCCACCTCCTCCTCCTCCTCCTCCTCCTCCTCCTCCTCCTCCTCCTCCTCCTCCGTCCTCCTCCTCCTCCTCCTCCTCAGGCCTCCCGGCGGGCCCGCGGACGCCGACGAGAACTCTTGCGACGGCTCCGGGCCCTGCCTCTTGCGCGGCCTGCTGAGCAGCGACCGCGCGCAGGAGACGGCGGCCAGGGGCCTCATGCAGGTGGCTGGCGCGCGGCTGCAGCCCGCGGACTGGGACATGGCCAGGAGCTCGAGCAGTGGCGAAGCGTCCCGCCTAAAGGCCCACCAAAGAACGTTCTAAGAACCTCGTGTGGTTTGCACGCAGTGTGATTAGAACATGTCTGGCTGAGACTGTCTTGTTTCAAGACATCGGGTTTATGTTCTAAGGGCATTGCTTCTGTTCTTGGAACACTCTGGGATTCTAGGAACATCTCGTGGTAGGCATTTAGGAATGCCGGGACGGTCGGTCCCTACTCAAAGGAGCGTCGTGGAGGCCGCGTTTAGCAACATCTCGAAGAAGAACAAGCGCCATAATAAAGCGTAATTGTTTGGCGCTCCGCGCGGATTTCTTGGATCCGCGCTGGGCCCCCCCCCGGCGGCGCCTCCGGCGCCGCCCCTGGAGGGGGGTCCAGCGCAGATCCAAGAAAGCCGCGCGGAGCGGCACAAGTTGATGTGTATGGCCTTTTTCTTCTTCTGAGCATCACTGTCATGCTTGAGCGCTACGCCCCGACGGTGGCGGACGAGCTGAGCCAGATCCAGCTGAGCTCCGAGGAGAGGGACAGCGTGCTGAAGGTCCTCGAGCTGCTCGGGGACCTGCGGGTGCAGCGCCTGGGCCTGCAGGTCGGCGAGGCCATCCGGGGCAGCGGCTCGACCCAGAGGTCGGAGCTCCGGCGCCGCATCGCGGAGAAACTGGGGCCCCGGCACGACGAGCTGGACGCGCTGAGGGCGGAGCTCATCCCTGAGCCGCTCGGCAGCTACTGGGAGGAGAGGCACGACTGGTTCCTCACCCTGGACGAGGCGAACGTCCGGTCCATGCGCCCCGTCGACGCAGAGGCCCGGGCGGCGCTGGAGACCATGCGCGCGCCGCTCAGCAAGTCGCTCGGCTCCGACAAGAAGTGGTTCTCCATGTACGGCGGGGCGCTGGAGCAGGGCAGGGCACTGCTGGACATCTTGCAGAGGTGCGTCGGGTCGATGGGCCCGCACTGGACCGTGAAGCTCGGGAAGACCATGCTCTTCGGGGAGGCCACGCTGTCGTGGCCCTGCGAGGTGGACGACCTGGACAGCACCGCGGTGGACTTCAGCAAGGCCCTGCTGTGCCCACTGAAGTTCGGGGCGCAGGGCCTGGATGCGCTTTTGGCCACCGCGGACCCCGACGCCGCGCGGGCCTCGGAGCAAGGGTGAAGAGGGAATGGGTCATGGCCCTTCGCGTCCCGCGAAGGGGGGTCGGTCCCCCCCGTGGCGCCTGCAACTGCAGACCGCGCCCAAAGGCGCCCCCTGGGATCCCGCCGCCTCCCACGCGAAGGGATGGCCGATCCCAGGGGCGGCACCGAGGAGGGACCGCCCCCCCCCCCCCCGAGGCCCC